GTGGCCACCTTTATACTTAGACCACTTGAGCACTGAAGCTTAAGGAGTTTCCTTCTAAATCCTTTCAAGCTCCAAATCCTGTGGGCAACATGTCCTCATATGCAAAATCTGCTATAGAGCTGTCACCAGAAATTTTGCTTTGCAGTTTCCCAACATAGTTCTCTTTCTCTAAATCAGGGTTTCTCAACCTCAGCTATAGTGACATTTTGGGCTAGACAATCCTTTCTTTGTGAGGGGACTGTCCTGTGCATTTTAAGATATTTAGCAACATCCTTGGCCTCTACCCACTAAATGCCAGTAGAAACTGCATAGTTTTGACAAGTAAAAATGTCTGCAGGCATTTTTGCCAAATGTTTTCTCTTGGGGGCCAAATCACCCCCGCCCCTGTTGAGAACTGACACTCTCAATAATAAACATGTGGACATAAATTGACAAGTTATAAAATATGTTGACAAGCAAAGCAAAAACATTCATGATAAGGACAGCAAATGCTGATAGAGCACTTATGTGGGCCAGACACTGTTTTAAGAGCTCTTTCCATGTAAGTTTCCAAACCCATAGAGTGACTGTACCATTTTACCATTATTATTTACACTTTATAGATGAGGAAACTAAGGCATGGAAAGGTCATATAGCTTGTCCAAAGTCATGCAGCTCGTGTCAGATCAAGAATTTAAACTCAGGCACTGCGACCCTGGAGTCTATGATTTGAACTCACTGTGTTTCTCTTTCAACAACAATTTGTTGGAATAGGTATCTATATGCCATTGCATGCAATATCACCTCTGATAGTTACTAAGTTAATGTTTATTAAGTGAATAAATGAATGACTATACATCCAGGGAATTACTTATTATTTTAAATCAGCATTGAATAGATTCTTTAGTTAATTTAAATGAAAAATACACTTTTCTTTGGACATAACCAACTAAATATTATCATTAGAGTAAGGCAAGAGGATCTTAGCATTTCTAAGCCTATGCACAAGAATCTCTTGGAAAGGGTTTGCTACGGTGACCTTTAAAGTCTCTTCTAATCAGAGCTTCTATTTATGTGCTAGAACAGTTTTACAATATGTCAGAATGAAGATTGGCCAAACTGAACAAAATATTATTTCCCTGATTAGATTGAGCAAAGCATCTGCCTTGCCCTGTAATAACTGAAAACTGAATTTATCCTCCCCCTTAAACTAGGCATACACACTGATGAGGTATTAAGCATTGTATGATAGTTTAACCAAGTTCAGGAGTTATAAAAAATTAAGCATCTTTAAGTAACAGGAAACCACTTTAGCTGATCAATCTTCAGGCTTCCATAGTTGGCCTTCTATAGTGAATGAGAGGGCTGGGCTCTCAAATTTGTTATAAGTGCATTACATCTGATTTATATCAAAGTGAGAAACTATTTTATGTAACACTACAATATTACTCTATTGAATGTGATTTTTAGTCAATTGGAAATATTTATATAGTGCATATATATTTTTATGTATACACATACATATGTACATATATGTATATGTATATGTTCAATAAGAAACCCAGTATATTTGTTTTCTATTTTTCTGGCATGCAAACAAAACTTTTTCTTAAGAAGCATTTTCATTAAATTAAAAAATTTCCTTGACTTCATTACTAGTGAAAACAATTTAAAGGATTTCTCTAGGAGCTTTATTTTTTAGGTGATTTTCCCTATTGCAGAGATCACACATCAAATTCTGAGTGATCATCATTTTGTGATTCATGTATTTTAGATAACATATAATATTGGACATTTCTTAGTGTTTTTTATTATTTCTATGAGGAACAGTAACACTTAATTCATGCAAATTTGAGAAAAGAAACATGACTGTAAAAAAATTAAATGGTCTTTTCTTTTTGCAAAATTGGTTTTTGTTTCCTTCATTTCCATATATAACTCATTGTGAGCAATAAGGGAAAGATAAGCTATAGTGCCTTAGAGAACCTTGTGCATCTTTAAATAAATAGATGAGAACTATTTGTTATTAGAATGGTCATAGTTTGAAGAGAAAATGTTGCAGATGTTGTTGTTGAAAACTTCATGTTGATTTCATGTTTAAGTACAGAGAATTTTATACCCTGTTGAAGTTTGAAGAACTAACCAGAATCTGACCCTGAAAGTCCTGAGGACTAAAGGTTCTGACTCATACTAAACCCATGCAAATGCCCATATGTGAATTCATTTGCCCATCTTTATGCCTTTCAAAGTCAGTAAGGTAAAAGTCTTCAAGTCAGGCTGACTTCTTCTTCTTCTTAGCTTAAAACATAGGTCACTTTATACTTTCTTTATTACTGAGGTTTCCAACAAACAGTTCTTGGGGACTTTTTCTATTCATCGTTCAAGAGGAACATTTATGTGTGTCTGAAGTTTGCTGAGATGCCTGGTGAGTCAGAAGTACAGTTTGGATTTCCCTCTTTTTCTTCCTTTCAGTACTTGATTTTCACTTTTCCCTCTTCCTCACAAATTTTCATTTTCTGAAAAACCCTACACTATTACCTCTATAGAAGTTTCCAGAGTTTTCAAGGAATAAAAACTATTGACTATAGTACAGTTATAGTGAAACTTAAAGAGACTCAGTGATTCATAATTCTTCATATTCTTTTATGATTTCTATGAGTACTTACCACAGAGTAAGTAATCTATAATTTACTTCCCACACAATGTGAGTGTTAAGGTCACTCAGGAATTCTTTTTCACAAACTTGGAAGTTTAGAAAACTACAGAAAACAAAACTAAGCAAAACAGAATTCTTCAGAAAATAGGAAGTGACAGTCTTAACACTGTTTGGAATTGTTCTTCCAATTAGTGACCGGAATCTGAGTTCCACCATTTTTGAGCCCCAAAGTTGCCAGAAATAAGTTTAATGACTGAATTACTGAAGGCTTCTTATGTTTTATGAATCCGTCCTCAGAAAACACCATGTTTGGCAATTGTAGGCCTGGCGAAACACTAAGCCTTCATTAGTCTATAAATACCATTTTGATGTAGTTATTAAGTCAAAGATGATGGCTGGCCCAGAACACATTTTTCTGTATACCTACATAAAAAAAACTATATGCCGACCTGGGAAGAAAGTTAATTAATCCTGGTTCTAAAAGAGTACTTTTTCCTTTAAAATGGTTATATCGTCAGTTTATTCTTCCACAAAGATCTGGACCCTGTTTATTGTCCCCGTTATGAAATTAATAATACTATAAAATACATATTTAATGTGTTTTAAAGGAACATTTTACAATACTTAAAGTATAGCTATTGTTTTATGCAGTATCTACTTTCTGAAAGTTGGAAATGATCGTGAATTCTTGACATAGCAGCTAAATGGTGCTCTTGCCAGCTGGCTTCCAAGCGGTCATAGATCCTACCTTAGATTTCATGGGTATGATGATAAACTTTGTTACAATGGAGAGGCATTGGGATTTAGCCTTGCTATACATTAAGAAAGAATGAAAGTAGAATTCCTATATGTTTTACTCAGTTGTTAAATCCAAAAAAGGATAAGATCTGAGAGGTGCATGTTACAGAAATAATCAAATTCAGATACTAGATCTCCTTACTTGTAAAAATAACTATAAAATTTGCATTACTCATTAATGATCATCTGAGAAATAGAACTATGCAGATTGGGGTGGGAGGTGAGTATTAAGCTGTGAACCATATTATAAATTTTTGGAGATAATTCTTTTGATGATGGAAACAAATAAGATGCTACACATGGAATAATTATCAAAAGAGCAATGTTCAAATTAATGTTGCTATGATGAAATTAACATTATGACCCAAGTGCAGATGTATAATTGCCTCTGTTATATGTGAGAAATAGAGTATGTGTGACTTATTTGATAGGTAACTGGTGCCAATTTAATAGGTTCAGAAAAGAGTTTTGTGAGTACCAACTACTGGTCATTATTTCTTCTCTTTCTTACTTCACTTAAGACCATTGTGCCTTTTCTTTCTTCAACCTCCAAAAGTTAGAGAAGAGTGAAAATTGGACCAATACTATTCAGATATAGAGCACTAACTTCAAAAAAAATGAATTGATGAGAACTAAAATTTTATGTCCTTATTTTCAGTCTTCTAAAGTCAACCTCAACATTTAGGCACAATAATTTAAATTATTAAAATTAAAATCCACAAAATGGTGCCAAAATTATTAAAATTATTTTCTTATTCCATGGGACATAATATTCTTAGTTATAGGTCTTAGTGAAAGTTGGCAGGAGAGGAAATCATGTTCCAATAAGTTCATTTTGTTTCTGATCATTTAATAGGATTATATAGTTTGGTGATGGAAAAAGCTAAAATTAAGGACCTTTTTCTTTTCATTTCAATTATGTGATGGCTCTAGTTCTAATAAATACAAAAAAATTTTAGTTAACTTATTAATAGAAAGTTTGATAATTATGTAGATTTTCTATGTAAAATACTTATTTTAATGCAGTGATGACCTCTTAGCTGATTACATACTCTTCAATATGCAGAAATTTTGTTAAAAATTTGGTGCAGTTTCAATTTTCTGAGTATTATTGAATATGTATACCCAAATTGCACTTCTTAACAAAAGGGCATAGTGCTGCCAATTGTATTTCAAATAACTTTTGTTAAGTTCTGAAGTTATGTAGTTTATTTCTATATAATATCCAGGTAAGACATAGTATTATTTTATGCTGCTAAAACCCATAAAATAAAGTTGTTTAAGTACCTTCAAGTTTTTTCTGTAATTTTGACTTTATCATCTACTTTTTGATAGAATTGATAATGTAGTTATATGTTTACCAGAAACTTAAATCAGGATTAGGTCTAATATATAGGACTTTAGATTGTTTTTATTTTGATTTTTTCCCTAGCTACAGGTGCATGTTACAGCTTGCCATTGTGGTCATTGTGGTTCATCTCATTAAGCTTCATGTTCTATCTGCTTTCTTGAGACTTGGGAAACAGTATTTTTCTGAGTGATTGTACCATATTGTTCCAAATATAAGGCCAGCCAGAATAGAAGGCAACCTCCAACTAGAAACAGCTCAAATATGGAGAAAGGCTGGGGGCCCAGAGCCCGGCGGGTCTTGCAGTGGTGGCAAGGGTGCCGAGGAATAGGACGATGCCTGCCCACTCTCCCGGTGAGTGAAGATGAGTCAGCTGGATGCATTTGCTTGTGCATAACCAGATGACTTCTGTTGCTAGAGAAAAAGTTATACTGGGGGGTAGAAAACAAGTTCATACACATGAAAGAAAGTTCTATGTCTAAGTCTGGGGAGGGAGGATGGGAGTAGAATTTTTCACCTCCTAAACAATTTTCTTGTTTTTTCCCCCCACATATGGGGGTGAAAGTGGAGCAACCCCATGCAGGAGAGAAGAACAAAGGTACCCTGGACATTTCATGATAAAAGGAGTTTAGGTCAGTGGTCCTGAAAATCATATGCCTCTAGACAAGCTCAGAAAAGTACTCCTTTGCCCTTTAAAATTGTCTACTGACAGAGGTGATGCATGCACTGTGTGTTCATATGTAGCTTGAAAACAAGCCACTCAATCTGGAAATCACATTGCCAGTTTTAGTAAGATTTTTCTCTTTTTAAATTCCCTGTTTGGCTCAGTAGCATATATTTTTAAATAGTTCAGTGAAATTATATTAGTCAACTGAGAGTATATGTAAATTGAACCCTCATAATTCTCCCAATATTGGTCTGATTCCACTAAGTGCATAGAAAACTAACATTTTATAGTACTAAATGAGATACAATAGAATGAGGTGCTTCATTCTGTTATTGCAATCTAGAACATTATTTAACATCTGTTGGAACTAAACTTCACCAGGCATTTGGTTACCTTTATGGCTTCACAAAAACAAAATAAAATATAAGCCTTGATCTTTCTGGTTGATTTGTAGTCCGTGGCTCCCAAAGCTAGTTTGAAGTATAACTTTCATCCCTAAATGATGAATTCCGCCCCCCCATACTCTAGGCAAGATACTATTGTAGCCCCCGCCCTTTTTTTTAAGGAAACTACTTTCATTTAAAAAAATGTGTGATTTTGAATAGATATGGCCACAACAGGACTTTGTTTACATTTAACCAATGGAAAATGGCTCAGATGATTGGGTTTAAGGATGTTGTTTACATTGATTTTTAGAAGTTCTATTAAACCCAAATGCCCTGAACGATAGAGGCCCATGCATGGTATTATTGATATGCTTATCTTTTTACCAGGTCTGGAAAGAGAACCTTTGAAGCAGAAAGGCTGGGCAGAAAAGGATTTGAAAGCAAAAACAGGAAGGAGGTAGCTCAGAGTGGGAAGCTTTATTGGCTTCTAAATTAGAGGAAATATGACTTTTAAGTCAGAGGAAATATGGCACTGCAGTGGTGGGTCCTAAACAAGAGGTTTGAAGTGAAATCTGTGTAACCTGAGAAATCTTTGGGAATTGTTCATAAGAGTGGTACCAGGAGGAAAAGAGAAGAGTATAGGACCAGCATTACTCAGGAAAGAGGAGCTTCCTTTTATAACTCCTGAGTTTTGGAACCATTTGATTCCAAAGAATCCAAAGTACAGAGGAAGAAGATGTCCAAAATGTAAGGGTGGGTGAAGGGCGTGTCCCTTAACCATCTTTAAACTTCAGATAATTTCCCTTCCATTAGATGTATTAGGCATTATTGTGTGTGATTTGATCTGGGTTGCAAATATAGGAAAATAAATTTTATAATTTCTTTTCCCACAGGGGATTGGGGCTGTTCTAATTGACAATCCTGTTTCATCACCTGCTGTACATTTTAGTTTTAGTAGCAATGGAGGACAGAAGCAGAAGAAACCACCTAAGTGCCATATCCTACTGCTTCCTCTCCTTGTTGACTAGTGAGGCTGGGGGCAGGATCTGACTGGATTGTAGAACTCTTTGAGCAGGGAAAAGAATGTGGCCTCAGTAGGCTAGTGAGCTGGCAGGGGGAGTCTTTGAGGACATAGGAGAAATGACAGCAAGAAAGAAAGGGAGAAAGTCTTCCAAATTGCAAAAATAATAATCTGCAATAATAATAACATTAAGTTAATAATAATAAGCTTTCCCTATAAAGCATGGTTTACATGTAATCCATACCTATAATTGCTGGGTGCAGATTTCTCCTCTTATTTCTAAAATGTACATCATAAAAATTCTCTTGGCTGAGCATAATTGCTCACGCCTGTAATCCTAGCACTTTGGGAGTCTGAGGCAGGAGGATCACTTGAGGTCAGGAGTTCAAGACCAACCTGGGCAACATAGTGAGACCCTGTCTCTGTGAAAAAGATAAAATGTCACTAGGCATAATGGCACATGCCTGTAGTCACAGATACTCAGGAGGCTGAGGTAGGAGGATTGCTTAAGTCCAGGAGTTGAAGGCTGCAGTGAACAATGATCGTTCCACTGCACTCCAGCCTGGGTGATGGAGAGATTCTGCAAATTAATGTTCCAAACTACCATTGTCTCTCTCTTTATGAATTCTCATGATACACCTTCAGTGACTCCTCTTCAGGGTATTAGATTGATAGAATCATCTTGAGTGGAGCAATTACTTATCAATTAGTCATGAAAAATTCTGTAAATAGGTTGATAGGCAGAAATTAAAATCTCAGATTCCCTAATAGTATAATGATCTATCTATGTAAAAATAGATTTGGAAAATTCCCATGTGACTGCTTTTTCTAGAAGAGTAGATAACTGATACTCTCTTTTTTTTTTTTTTTTTTTTTTGCTGATCCCTTAGTCTTCCCCCAAGCACCCTTTAGAAAAAGTACAGATCCTTAGGGGAAATTTCCAGTTCTTGTACAGAAGAATGTGGCCTGCACATGTCAAATTAATCATGTACAGGTTCTAGTTTCTCACCAATTAAGTTGAAGAACCACTAAACTAAAAATATGTAATTTATATCTATTATGTTTTTCATCTTTAAAAAAGACCAGAAAAGGACAATTTTCAGTTTTTGAAGAAAATGTTGAATTTGGATAAATCTTTTTTGAAAATGCTTTATTATAGGTCTTTCCCTCAAAAAAAGGTTTTGTGAGAGACACAGTTTCTCCAACACAAGAATGTGATGTGTCTGCATATTCTGAGACATATGGAATATGGCATTTGGCTTGCTGAGTGAGCATGTTTAACTCAGCTATGGAGTAACTCATGAATTTCCTACTCTTGAGTATCTTTGAGTTTCAAAAATCATTCTTGAAATATGTTTAAGGGCCATTCCTTGGGGGTGGGGCATTTCAGAGATGGCATCTGGCAATGTATTGAGGTGGCTCTTCATTATGTTTTCTTGCTGGTCAATCAGCAAGTGTGTTCCAATGAACAGACTGATAGCATTGTAGAATAGGTTAGGAAAAAGTAACAAAATGGCTAATTCTCATTTAGTAGTGAAATTGAATACTGAATGACATTTTTGTAGTTATAAACGACTTTTGTTTTAATAACAAAGTTGTTGATTTTCTACTAAGGGTTCTTTTAGGTTGTCATCAGGGGCTGATGGGAGTAACAGTTCACCCAACTCTGCAGCTAGCTTCAGTGGACATGCCACACCTTCCCAGCAGCCTGAACCTGTGGTACATTCTCTTAAGGTAACCAATCGTGTGCAACCATTTATCCAGAGCTTCAGTTGTGTTGTGGCTTGTTCGCTGTAGTCTAGTAGTCCTCACAGTCTTGCTTGAACCATAGATATTTTATTTTTTGACTCCTTATGGTGTAACTTTTTAAATCTTAATTTTTGAAGTATGATTTTAATTGTTCTAAACTGACAATGAGTTTGAGTACTTATGGTTGAATCTCTAGTTTTATCATTTTGTTTTGAGTAATGTGATTCATATCTATCGGCATCGAAGTTGAAGTCTGTGCATGTATATCCATATTTGTAAAAAACTGTGATAGGTATTTTATGTGCAATGTTTGTAGCATGGATGTCTTCAAATATAGGGAGTTAATAGTTGGTCAGAATATGGAAGGATACCACATTATTCTTTCTTGATGCAATTGAAGTACATTATACAACTTAAATAAAGTAATGAAATAAATAAAAACTTAGTCTTTCCTCTTCTAAGTAGAAATTAGATTCTCAAACTCCAGTTAATGCCCCATTATAGAATAATAGAAAATAGATATATGGTCTTATTCAGAAAGCTACTTTACTTTTGTGTCTTTCTTCACGTTTTGCAGTGATTTCACAAAAATTTGCCTAAAATTTGTCATCTATTTTCTTTACCAATAATGAGCTTTCCAATAAGTAAAATTAATGAAAAATCAGGACCATAAGTACAACAATAGTCAATATAATAATATAAACAATATAATAATATAAACAATAAACAATATAAATATTTACCTATCTCAGAAGAAACTAACGCAGGCAATAAAAATCATCTTAAAATTGAGACGATTTCTTGAAATTTTATCAGTTTCAGAATATGAAACACTGTCTAACAAATCTATCTATAATTTCTAACATGTAGCTTTGATCAAACGTTTCTGACCCATAAAACAGGTAGAGTGCTTCCATTCTGCTTTTACCACATGAGTTTCACAGCTCTTCTTAAAACTGTTTCAATTTCAAAATGATTTATCATCAGCCTGAAGATGCACTCCTCTTTTGGAGTGAGCCGCACTTTCTGTGGCTTGCACAAAACAAATACATAGATGAGAACTTCAGAATGTTTATTTCATTTTGAGATGATTAAGTTTTAGCAGAAGATTTTGCTCCCTCAGGATATTTTGCTTTAGCTTATACAAAATGAATTTGCTTTTCCTAAACATATACTAATGATTGATGAGGGAAGGTAGGGCAACCATGCTAGTGGCCATTGACAATGCACTTGGCATTTTCTGTCTTTGTTGGGATAATTCACAAAGTGAGCAACTGAGAGGAATTCCTGGGAAGGCACAGCCAGTGTGAGGGGGCACTGCTTTGCCTCTGGTGGCTATTGGTTTATGGACTGTTGAGTAGTCTTGTTCTCTGTGGCAGCACTTGGATGAACTTTAGCATGAATCAGGCACTAGCTATCTGAAAAGCCTTTTAGAAGTAGAAAATGGACCAGAGATTGGCTTCTATCTTGTAGTGTTATAGCATCTGCACACACTCCAACAGCAGCAGCTTCTCCTCCTATTCAAACTGTTTGAAAGCCATTTCAGCCTGTTGCCTTATTAAATGGCAATTGTTATTTGAATCAGAGCAGCATAGTGAGTCACACTGAAATCTTTTCCAGATTTCTCAATGCAGCTGTTAGTGTGGCCTAAAAGGAAGGGGAGGGCAAGGAAGAGCTCCTCAGTTTTCTCTGAATTTAGTTCTAATTTATACAATTTTATCTCTGGGAGGCTGAGGTGGGTGGATCATGAGGTCAGGAGTTCGAGACCAGCCTGGCCAACATAGTGAAACCCCGTCTCTACTAAAAATACAAAAAATTAGCCAGGTGTGGTGGTGGGCGCCTGTAATCCCAGCTACTTGGGAGGCTGAGGCAGGAGAATTCCTTGAATCTGGGAGGTAGAGGTTGCAGTGAGCCAAGATTGTGCCACTGCACTCCAGCCTGAGTGACAGTGTGAGACTCCTTCTCAAACAAACAAAATATATACATATATATAAAGAGATATATATATATTTATGTATATATTTTGAGAGAGATATATTTATATATTTGATATATATTTACATATATATTTTGATATATGTATTTATATATATTTTGATATATGTATATTTATCTCCCTCTCTTGAGATATATATATATCTCAACCAAATGTCGTTGGTTGGCAGATAAGTGATACTGAGCAACTAAAACATCTTTATTAGAAAACTGGGGCCCTTGAATATCAAATGTGTTTGCTTCCATGAGTTAACTGTGTTAGGACACAGAAATATATACAAACATCATTTTTGGGAAATGCATCTTAAAAAGATTTCAATATAAGAAAAAGAAATTGTGGCCACTTGACATGTTTTGTTTTTGAGAGCCAACTATCTAGAGCTGATTTATTTCATGAGATTTGTCTATTCTGAAAAGAATAATTAGTACAGTGGCTCAGTTTCTCACTTTCTGACAGATTTTATAGAAAATGCTAGGCTTTATAAAATCTATGGTCATGGTTTGTGGGGAAATGTAAATCACTGTAAGAAATTAGTACATTTGTAATAACACTATATTTTTCTTGTTTTAAAATTTATGATAACTATTCATTGGAACTTTACTTCATTTAGTAAAAATTAACTGATTTGAAGTACACTTCTCTAAGGTGCATTACAAATCAAATTTGTAGGTAAATGAGCTTGCTCAAGGAGCTCTTTATGTTTTCTATGAATATTCACCGAGAACAGTCAGTGATTTTCTCTAAATATGTAAAGAAGGTAAATTAACTGTAATCTGAGATATCAGGGCTCAGAAGTGGCATTTTTATAATAATAATGGCTAGAAGTTTCAAATTAATGAGAGTAGTTTGTGATTAGATTAATTATTAGAGGATTGAACTCTATTTCGATTCAGATAGTGTCTATGAACTTGACCTGAAGGTCCCACTTCATGCTTAAGTCATTTAGTTTGGCTCACTTGGTGTAAATTCTCAGGTAGCATCTTTAGATTTGACCATCAGCATTGACCATGATGACAGTAGAATCAAGTAGCTTAGCAGTGTTGCAGTTGGTGTGGATTCTGTGGGAAATTCTAGGAAGAGCATTAGTTTTTTGTATTACTTCAGCACTTTGATTTATAAACTGATATAGATAAAAACAACACAGAAAGCCAAAGTTGTTTTCTCCTTTTATAGTATAAAAAGTACCCACAAGAAAACTTTAGATATTTTTAAAGGAATATTATTTTCAACCTATTTAGGACTAATTTAGAGAAGTGGAAACATAGGGCTCTAAAATTGTTTAAAAGGCATTTTATTCCAAGACATTTTGCTTTCATGAAAAATATTTAAAGTGTTGTTCAAATATTTTCACTATAAGGAGCCAGTACTTCTCTTTGATACTATCAAAGAGCCACCTCCACATGCCTTTTCTCAGGCACTGGGAACATGTCCAGGCAAGAACTGCGAGGTCAGTAGTTCTTATGTGCATATTCCTGGGTTTTGACCAGTTTCACCTGTCGCTATCATCTTTTTTAGTCATCTTTTATGCAGGCCATGTCTACATATCATTTGGACCATTTGGCACATAGTTAATTATATTGGTCATCATTACAGTGGAGCAAGAGTTATTGACTATATCCAAATGGTTGACACAGTGAAGTTATCTTAATGACCAAAGTAAATGCATATGCTTATTTTAGACATTAATGAATTCCATTGATTATTAGTGATGCAGTGGATAGCTTTTAATGGCCATTTGAAAATCAAATAGAATAATTTCAAATAGATTTCAGAACAATCAGCTACTTAAAAAATATGTTGCCATATACTAATCCACTCTGATATGTAGACATGGAGAAAACTAAAGGTTTTACAAAGTGGAGCTCCTTGATGGTTTTATCATAACTAACAAGCTTTTTTCCATGTGAAATTTGCTTTTCTTTTTCAACAAATCCAGGTCTTGGATGTTCAGGAAACTATAGATCGTCAACAGGGTAAAGAGTATGAACATGACCTTAGTGAGACAGAAAAAGCTATAGTCAGAGAAATGTGCAATGTAAGTTTAATGTGCTTTATTGTGTATTCTGTGTTGAAAGCCACATCGTAGCTTAGCTATTGTTTTATGAGTATTTTTAAAATGCTAACCAAATGCCTTTACATTTTTATATGAAAATAAAACAAATTTCCCTTGGTTTTATATTCAGTATATTTTATTGTAGTTTTATTAACACAATCATGTTACAAAATATTCAATTAAGAGATGATCAGCCAATTCTGTATTCCAGAAGACTCTACAAACATTTCTAAATACTAAATTTACTGTCTAAAATATGTTTCTAATTTTGATAAAAATAAATGGGTTTCTATTTTATACTTCTAAGAAGTTTGTTAAAGATCAGTGTTTAAAAACCTATGATAAAGAAAATACAGCCACCTTTAGATTTACTTGTAACTATTCTTGGAAAAAATTGCCACCTTACTAGGTAATTTTGCTTAGTTCTTCATATATCATATATGTGTGTTTCATGTCATGCAAAGTATTATCTTTAGCTTTCAGTTGTTGACTCAAACTCAGAATATAGTAAGGTAAGAAAAACAGATAAGAACCTAAAAGATAGTTAGGTGAGGCACAGTGGCTGTCACCTATAATCCCAGCACTTTGGGAAGCTGAAGAGGGAAAAATGCTTTAGCCCAGGAGTTTGAGGCTGCAATGAGCTATGGTCATACCACTCCACTCCAGCCTGGGCAATAGAATGAGACCCTGTCTCAGAAAAGAAAAAAGAGGATAGACAAATAGAAATCTATCTATGAAGTCAGAGACCACAGGAAAAAAAAAAGATGTTATTTTCATGATGCATATTCAATGCAATCATTAATATGGCTTGGATTTTACTATTAATCCCTGACTAAATTTTAATTTTTTGAGTAATATACATGGGATGTATCATTTAATCAATAATATAATTTGTGAAGTTTTAAATAGCTAAATGGAATATTGTAGAGGAAGCAAGAAATCATGGTTAAGCACTGATCATGTTAAACACTGATTTTAATTGGCTTTACATTATACTTTTATCCTCATATTCTTTTCTCTATCCTATCAGGATGTGAAATTGCTTAGAAATACCCTTCAGCTTTAAATCTATTAGGACCAGATTTTCTCAGACACTTACTCATCTACCTCCTCGAGATGTTTCTGGAATCCAGTAAATGTTACATAAGTTCCCTGGGCATTTTTTATGTGCTAGAATGAGATTTGTAGTCTCTTGCTTGCCTGTGTTGTGGCCGATTTTTCTCTTCCAACTCTTCCTACATTATTTGTTTTTCTTTCCTGCATATCTATTGTCTGTTTTCAAAAGGTCACTAGTTCTAGATGTCATCTTTCCTAAATGCACCACCATTCACCTTCTGTAGGTTTTCAACCTGTGCTTAAGATTTTCAGTTTGAATATTTCCCGCAGATAAATTTTAAAAAGCAAGCCACATACCTAGGAATGCCTGTTACTTCTCATCTATTGACTGTGGAATGAGAGAGAAAGTTCAGACAATAGGTTCAAAACTGTTGAACTAGAAGGGGCCATAGAGGTCATTCTCCAGTGTTTGTCCAAAGAATAGTATATGGACCGCCTTCATAATTCAGATCTCTGAGTTTAACATCAGACCTCAGGCGATTCAGATATGAACCCCTGGGTAAGAACCCAAACACTCTAATTCTGTATTTGAAGAAACTAAGATCCAGAAATTAAGTTACTTGCGCAAACTATTTTCTAATGAATAGTGAAGTCAGGAGTACACCAAGATTTCCTTTGAGGACCTTTCCTGAGGAACGAAAAGTGAAAAGCACGTATCTTACAGAGGGGGCCATCTCCATGGTGCTTAATGCCAGAATTTCTGCAAAAAATTCCAGGATTGTTTCTTTCCCTTTCCTTTCCTTCCTTTCAGTTTCTGGACATTAGAAAATTCGTATCTTAGTCTCAATAGAGACCCATTACTGGATTGGATTTTGATTAGTTTTATGTTGATCTTTTTGTTTGCCTGCATTTTCAAAAATGAATTGAAAGGCACCATACAGTATTATTTTTATTTTTTACTATGTAAGATACTTTCAGAAAGCCAAAAGCTTGCCCTCCTTGTTTACCTTTAAAAGTTCTCTAGGAGTGTGCTTTCTGTCTACTTTTGTCTTCGATCCCCAGAATTTGAGGAAAAAATGCAAACAAACCCAAATCTGATTCTTAAGCAATTTTATATATTTGGAAACAATCAAAAAATTTTATTGTCACCATTATTAATTATATGATCAAAAACACATAGTAAATGCCACAGAATAAAGAAAAATGCAGCTTGTAAAGCAGTTGCATGGATAAATTGTGAAACTAGTGAAAATTATGAAGGCTTGGTTTCTAGTAGAGAAATTATATGCCTTTATAATAATGTCACAGAAAAATAAAGCTTTCTCATAATATGAGATGGGTTATAAGACTCAGATAGAACTTGATAGAAGTTTTGCTGTTGTTTCTAGTATTGCTCCTAGAGATAAGATGTTGTTGACATCTACACAGCAAAAAGATTATTATTCATATTACCTTATGTGGGTTAGTATGTAGTTAGCTATTCTCTTCCCAAACTGTGCTACAGAAATTAATATACTGCCCCCTAAGAAATAGTAAATCTGTCTTTTTGTAGTAGTTGTTTTATTTTAGGTTTGTCTGTCTGGCTCTTGTAAATTCCCTGAGGACAATTGAAATACTTGATTGGTCATCTCAGTCACAGTCTCAAACACACACCTGTTATGCCTTTTTTAGTTAATAAGTCACTACTCCCGTGTCAACCTTAGTATTGTTGGTTTATTTCAAAGTTCTGCCTTCTTTAAGAGTTTCCTTTCACCACATAGTTATATCTGGGGTAAGCTCATTGCATTCTACATTTCAGTATTTGAAGAGGAGTTGCACTTTTGAGTTGTAATCATCTGGTGCTGGTGTCTGTTATCCTTGTAAGGTCCTTAAGTCTACCCTCTGCTTCTAAACCACACATTCAAAGCATTCTGGATAGATGTAATTATATTTAAGGGCTAGAAAAGGAAAGTCCATAGCATCCTTTGGCTCCTTGATTCAGTGTTTGTCTCGTGTCAATTTATTAAGAAATGAGACTTTCCTAACCCTATGTGTTATCCACATAGCTTGAGCCATCCATTGCTATGTATTAATAATTCCTTTCCAGATATTTAAGAACCCTAACTTCAGCTCCTTTTGAGTACAACAAGATATTTATCCCATGTATTGGTATATGCTGAAATATTGAGATTAATAGTTTCTTTGGCTTGGAAATGAAGGTAAACAGAACCCTATATTGTGTATTACTGTTAATGATATTGGGGTTTCCCTGTAGTATCCACTTCTATTTAAAAGCAAAAACAAAACCAAACAAAAGGAACAGTTGTGAATAATTAATGAACAAACTAGTTTTATGTTAATGTTAGAGTATTGTAAAGTTTTGTGCAATCAATCAATCTGACCATAATCCCTTGCGTGAAATAGTCTGGGAGGGTATGGCTGTTACTGTGCATGTGCACATACATGCATGTGCATGTGTGTGTATTCCAATCAATGTTAGTGTATTGATACATTATTGGCAAATTCAGTAGTTTTACATTTATGCTTACATTATTCTTGGTCTCGCCTTCTGTTTCTCTGTGTGGCCCAGCTTCTAACATATTGTAATTGTATCTCTTTCAGTGATTTTGAATTTATTCTTATCATCTTCCTACATTTGGATGCTTTCTGTTTTGGAAATCCGAGAGATCATATTGCTTGGTAGCTAAGATTTGTGACAACTGATGACCCCACTCTGTAGAAAAAGCCAGAGAAATTTACTAGTGGCCCTAAGACTACCACCTCAGGACTTAAATAGCTCAATAACAAAAGCGCCTTCATTTTCTCAGCTCATTAAATACTGATATCCTTTGTTATGGGTGTATAATATAGGAACCAGGATGATCTTGCTAAGGTGTTCTTAATTCTGGCTACACATTAGAATTACTTTTAGGGCTTTTTTAAAAAGCGCAGTCGTCCATGCCTCGCTTCTGCCGGTGAAATCAGAATCTTCGAGGATGGGGATTAGTGTTTAAGGAGCTCCTCAAGTGCTTAGTGTGCAGTCAGAGTTGGGGACCACTTATGTAACTAAAGTAAGTTAATATATCATTTTAAAATTCTGACCCTGGTTACTAACAAGGTTTAGTAGTCCCAACTACTAAGTAGTTCTTTTGTTTTAAGAAGCTTGTCATCACATTTTATTTTGTATTTGAACTCATTCATGTGGATATTTTGTCTCTTGTCTTTACTTCATCTTTGCTCCTCTCTTAATTTACCCTTAAGAAACGCAAATCTCCTTGTGGAAGAGGAAAAGTAAGATACTCACTTCATCTTCTTTTTTTTTGAAGGTTGTGTGGAGGAAACTTGGAGATGCTGCAGGTTCGTGTCCTGGAATTAGGCAACATTTGTCAGGAAACCAGTACAAAGGACCAATGTGAGATGCGCTCTTTTTCAAACAGGAGATCACCACTGCCAGAAAGAGGTAGAGGACAAGAAGAAGAAAAAGGAAACAGTGGGTTTCCACAAACCTGGACTCATGGAATAACATGGAGTGATTGTACATTGCACATATCTCCCCTCTAAAACCTGTAGTACAACTTCTCCCCTCAAGCTGATATTCTGTGTATCTCACCTCAATGTCCACAACAGTCAATCTCAAACAAGATAGCTTTGAAAATCTCAAAAAGAGTAGCTTTGCAAATCACCATTTTGGTACCAGTGTTTTCATTAGAACTAAGTGTTTTTATCCCCAGATATAATATCGTAATTGGGAAATCTGCATAGTTTTAAGAGTCCAGTGGAGCCTCAGTGTTCTGAATAGAGTTGACTCCTTGCACATAATGGTGGGAGTTTTCTACCATGTCATATTGAAGATATGAAGAGGTATTTTCCAGCTTCCCAAGTTTGAGAGTTGGGCATCTACCTCTTATAATTCAGTCAACCAACAAACTACTAATTCCGGATTCATAATTAATTTGGATGCAAGATAAGATTAAGTTTTTGGAGTTTGGTGTTGACTTCTGAGGTGCTAAAAAATACCACGTAAATTCTCCCTACCAGCTAGAAGGGTAGCAAGACTTTGTAGAGTGCTTATCAGAGAGTACCATTGACTTCAATTGATCAATATAAATATATCTTTTTCTTTTCATCTTAATGAGTTTCTCATAAAGACACATCTTGGGGCATACAAGCCTTCATATTCATTCAGTGGATCCATTGATGTTCATATTAACAATTTCAACTAAAAACTAGCAAACATAATTTTTCTAAGTGTTTCGAGCTGTGAGATGTCAATTTCTATAATTTAGTTTCTAGACATGCTGTATATTTAATAAACTTTATGTAAACTTTAAAATATTGCACTGCATTTATGAAAAAAGCTTTCTTTGCCTACTGCAGCAATCTAACATTTTATGAAACTGACGCATGTCCTTCATTATTGAGGCTAAAAGCTCTTGTTCAGATTGCCTGAGGTTTGAAAAAGAGGTGTGCTAGCTTTGCTTAGTTTATTTCTTATTTTTGGTATACATATACATATATATAATATTAGAATGTGTGTACTGGAAATGCTATGATAGGTATTTTGTGTTTATCCAAATGCAATGATAGTTTCTTGTATGAATGTGCAAGAGGCCTGTGACCGAATGCTACGTTTTTATGGTAGTTTAAGATTATAAAAGTAGAAATGCAACAATTCCCAGTTTTGGGATAGGTTCTACATTTCTGAGATTTGATTCATAGCAGATATTCTCTGTTGTTGTTTTAGATGGGCTCATTACACAATGAGTTAATTGTCACTAGTAGGAGACTGTGAAGGAATTTTGTTATACTTTCAAAAATGTTAACTGTGATGAAAAATCATCCCTCTATTTTCAGAAAATATTTATGTATTAATTTACTATAGAATTATCTCTCTAATTATCATAATTGGGTTACAATTTAAGCTTCCCTTTAAAAATGTTATATTTTAAAATGTTATTACTCTATAAAAGAAAATTGCTTGCTATATTTACACCGTCTTTCCTAGGAAAGCTTTCATCCTTAAATTGTTGTATTCCTATACTCTGAAGACATTTAAAATAAGCTTTTGTGCCTGCAGCAGAGCCTGCAGAAGCTAATACAAGGGACACTGGTCTTTTGACAAAATAAAGTTGTGTAAATTTTGATACTGTATTAAAACTATTTTTTTAAAGTTCTGCATAAAATTGAGTATTAAGTATATGTGTTCATCTTAGCAATGGTAATAAATTATTTAATCTCACAGTGTTTTTGTCTTTTTCAAAATGTCTTTCCTAAATTAAGTCCATTTGTAATAGTCATTACATGTCCTAATGCTCCTGTATGATGGTAGTAATAATAGTAATACAGATGATTCATTATCTTAAACATAAACCAAAGGCATGTTTTAAAATATGCTCATAATGAGGGATTAAATATTCAGATATTCCTCAACTTGCACCATTCTCCATTATAATGGAGTTAAAGCTTTCAAATGATATTTAAAAATATTTAAAAATGTTTCTGTTATAAAATCCTCTTAGTCTGTTAATTTATATAGATTAAAATTAAACTTCATTATTATCTACTTATTTTTAAAACATTAGTCATCAGGAGGAAATATTTTGGAGGGGAAGTACCAAATAAATGGAAAACTTGGCCTCTTTAAGAAACTTATACATTATTGGGAAAGGCATAATAGATACATGTGACTAAGAGATCAATAGGAAAACACACACAAGTGTGCTCAGAGAACACACATACTTCTTGGATGTCACTAGTTAGATTGTGGAATAAGGCTTTCTACACTTAGTATTAGCCTCAACTTTAAATGACAGATAAGATGGACAACTAAGTGCCTGAATCTTGCTATTACCTAATACCTTTATCAATCAAAATGAGTGGCACCATTCTCTTATGTGACCAGGTTATTAGTTTATGATCTTATCTTCTCTGGGACAAAGGTTAATGTATCTATCTTGGCAGAATATTTTTACCAGCCTTGAAGCTGCTAGACTGACAATCCGAATCTGAGCTTTTAAATGCATGCCTTTCAAGTTTCAAACTCGTGCTTAAGGCACTGTAGGGAATTCAGATCATCTTATGTAATATCCAGTAAAATAACGACAGTCTAATTGGGATGATTGTTCCTTAGGTCAACGAATATTTAATGAATGCCTATCACTGCCATGTGAGTAAACACAGCTTTGGTTCCTGACTCATAGGGCGGACTACTCTCAAGAAATACATGTAAGAGTAGTATCTGGGATGCTAGCTGGAGCTTTTTGATCCTTGAGATCGAGATAGGATTGCCTCAAACATCCAGTTTCTTGATCTGAGTAAGCAATATCCAAATGATTTCCACTAATTTCCAGAGTTCACACTCTGTAGTAAGCTTCTTGTTGCCTCATACCACCTCTATAACAGGGGCAACCTGATTTCCCCAGTAGAAACCTTGGTTGGAATCTATTCCTGGAAAGGATCTGCCTACCTCAAGCTGGCTTATCAAGGTAGATGCCCAACAAAGCTCAAGGCACCGCTATGAGGAATTCATATGCTAATATACATTTTTAATTCTTTTCCTTCTAAAGACTAAAAATTATCAACCCTGTTACACAATTACAGACAGTATAGTAGGTTGAACCATAGGAAATTGCCAATATTTGACCACTTTTGGATTATTAAAACAGTAATTTCATACAGTTCAACCTCTCAAGGTGAAGAGTTTTTTTGGCGGGAATTATAGAGTGAATACAGTAGAAGTTATAGAAGAGCCATCACATTAGGCTGAAGCTATCTTAAAGTATGCTGTACTAAGTGCAGCATTCAATAAAGAACATTTGACTTCAGAGAGGCAGAATTTGGGCCAGCAAGTTCAGCATTTGACTTTATAATTAGCTTTGTGAGTTTGAGCAATTTAACTTCACTGAGACTATTTCCTCACATGCTGTATGGAGCTAACATCTATATTGCTGAGTTGTTGTAAGGTTTTTATCGCTGCCTTTATTTTAAAATTCAATGGTCTTGATAGACCATTGAGCCTATGTCAAAGACATAGGATCCCAGACCCCATGGTCTGTTGCAATTTGTACTATTAGACTGGAAGAGAAAAATCACATAAGTGCTGAAGGTCTGTCACTACCAGATAAAGTAATTCTAGCTGTGCAGTTAAATACTGTGAAGTTCTGTCCTTTTTACATCATCCAGGCTACCATAGGCTCTTTTCTGGCTAATCACAGATGATGATTGTGTGAATGGAGGGGAAATAAAGGACATTGGTCTGATACTCACATATGAACAGTAGGTTTTACAACAAAATCTCTACAACTATTTGATTCTGTATTTGTTTTTCATCTCACCGAGTAAACAAGAAAAAAACTTTCATTTCAAAACGGCAGGATGAGTACCTGCTGCAGCTTCCTTTTCTTGCCTCAAACCTTAAAAATGATTTAAACAGTATTTTGATAAATAAATGCATAACCCCACTAGACCATAAGAAATAATGTGCTCCATGGGCCAGCAGTTATGATGAATTTTGGAAAGAAGGGAGACAAACTATCTGAATGAAGAATGAATCGATAATTTAAAGTACATGACGAAGGGTATTGTTGAAAAAGGAAGATGGCTACAAGGGTGCTCCAAACAAGGAGGAATTGGATACATGCATTGTGTGGTATCCTGGGGTAACTGACAATAGCTAGGCATTTTGATTCCTGCATTTAACTGCTCTCTCCTTGATTCAGGAAGAGAGCAATAAAAATAGATTCATTTTGCTAGAATTAAGCAGAAGATTTTTAAAAGTCTGACAATGAAGGGCTATAGAGTCTGCATTTGTAAGTTTCCACAGTGCTTTCTCTCACTCCCTACCTTTGCTCTTCATCGTTCTCTCCTTTTATTTCCTAGTTGTTTTTTAATTGACCTATTTTGTTTATTTATTTCATTTCAATAGCTTTTGGGGAACAAGTGGTGTTCGGTTACATGACTAAGTTCTATAGGTGTGATTTCTAAGATTTTGGTGCACCTATCACCCGAGCAGTGTACACTGTACCCAATGTGTAATCTTTTATCCCTCATCCCCTTCTCCCACTTTCCCCCCAAATCCCCAAAGTCCATTATATCATTCTTATGTCTTTGGGTTCCTCATAGCTTAGCACCCACTTATGTATGAGAACACAGAATGTTTGGTTTTCCATTCCTGAATTACTTCACCTAGAATTATGGTCTCCAACTCCATCCAGGTTGCTGCAAATGCCATTATTTCATTCATATTTATGGCTAAGTAGTATTCCATGGTATGTGCATGTATACATGGG